CCCGAGAGGCTGGGGACCGATGGATGCGGGAGACTCGGACCCGGCCTCCAGCCTCTCCGCCTCCCGGAGGAGTAAGAGACCTGGCGGCGTACAGCGAGGCGCCTGGCTCAGGCCGCTTGGCCTCCCGCTGGCTGTGACCAGGGAAGGGGAAGGACAGGGACGGGAGGGGGAGACAGCGCTGGTGGGGGCTGGGGACCCAGAGAAAGTTTCTTTTTAGCCTTTTCCCGAGGGAGCTGCAGGGGGCAGAGGGGCGTTCTCCAGAAGGTGGGCAACAAGCCGAGGACCTGCCGTCCTACCCCCGCGGATGGCAGGAAGGCAGGTGCTCAGCGACCCTGAGCCAGGTGTGGGGGTGGGAGCAGCGTTCCTTTGCACCAATGTGAGCTCCCAGTCAGACCCAGCCTGGGGGCTCCAGAAGAGAGAGATGCTGAAAATAAGGACAGAAGACAGCCATCTAAAACCACAGCCTCTGCTGCCTGCCGGAGGGGGGACATTCCAGGGACATAGTGAGAAGCTCTCTTGAGGCAGCAAAGCCAGAGTGGCCCTAGGAAGAAAGAGCAACAAGTAGCCCCCATCCCTACATGGCTGTCAAGAGAGTCTGTGTTTGACAAAGACAGACAGCTGGGGCTCCAGGTAGAGCTGGCTGTATTCCTGCATCCTACTCTACAGAAAGGTGTGTGTGTGTGTGTGTGTGTGTGAGTGTGTGTGTGTGTGTGTTCTGTCCCAGGGTCTGACAGATGGAAGCCCAGCTGGAGCTATAGGTGGGAGCAAAGAATGGGCTTTCAGCTGCCTACCTATCTCCTTTTTCCTGAAAACCCCATGGAAGTCAGCTCCTGGTAGCAGGTGGGTATGGCCTGCCTGCTTGCCCCACACCAGGGATCAAATGGCTGGAATCTCCTGAATCAATGATGCTGAATCCTCAGAGGAGAGGAGCAGAAAATGTGAGTGGCCAACCCAAGCTACACTGCCATGCTGGGACAAAGCTTCATGAAGGGAGGTCCCCTGGTGGACCAACCAGGGGTCTCCAGGGCCTGCCAAGCTTAAGTGACAACTTGGTTGGAAGGCAGTGGAGAAGGCAGTTTAGATCATGTTCATGTCCCTCTGGGTTTATATTCTGAAACATTTTTCTATCCTCCTTGGCCATCTACTAAACAAGATCCAATGAGACAGGCATCCGGATGCACTCTAAGGCAACATGTGCCATGACATTGGTGGTTTATTGATCCTGGGAGTGCAATAATAAAAACATTATCAGTGGGCACAAAAGACAAAGATTGATTGACCTCAGGTGTCTGCTAACCTAGAGGTCCAAGACCTCTCCTCCAGGGATGCTTCAAGGGGACACAGGCTTTCAAAGCAGAAACACCAAAATTAAGTGAGACTGTATCATGTGTCAGGACTTAGGTGAGGGTGTCTTATCATCTCACTCGTCCCAGGAAACTCTCTTGACAGGTGTGCCCTCTTGTTTTACTCCTATTGTACCAAAAGGGAAGCTGAGGCTCACAAAGGTACTACATCCGGGTTATACAATCAAAACTGCCAGAATGGAGATTTGAACCCTGGCATGATTGCCTCTAAAAATCAGATTTCAAAAAGCAAATCCAAAATCCCTTCCCAAATTTAAGAAGAAGCAAATGTATGTGCTCTCACTACTCACGTTACACACACACACACACACACACACACACGTTTTTCACATGCATGAAGCAGCCCTACGCTTTCTGTCCTTCCAGTCACGCCCTTGTTGCCTACTTGTTTTCACAGCTCAAAACACCCTCATACAGGAAGACTACCCTGATTAATCTCACCAACCTTTGGCTCACCCGCCTACTTAGTGCGTTGACCTTTAACTCTGTACCAGGCACTACCCTGGGTTTGCAGAGACAAAGATGAATGAAACACATGCCCCACCTCTGGCAACTCAAGGTTCAATGGGGCGGAGACAGAGAGAGGCAAGCACACAAGTCCCTGTGTAGCAACATGGTCAGCAAGAGAAGCAGTGTAGCTCATAGGCCCGTGATATTCCCAGGCCCCTCTAGGTCCTTCCAACTCCAGCCTTTGCTCGTGCTGCATTCCACCCGCTCCCATCTGCTCAGACCTGCCCTCCACAAACACAAGCAACCGCTTCTCAAAATCACATTCTCAGTTCTCACACCATACGTGCTTCTCCCGCGTGCAGAGATGAATCTCAGAACGGTGCTTCTCCTCTGTGTAAGCTCATTTCCTGCTCCTTCACCTCCCTGGCACGTGGTTTTAAGGAATACAAGCAATATGGCAGCGTAATGGGACAGAGTGACCTGCACCGGAATTTATATGTCCGGTCTTCTCTGCCTCTTTTTTCTCTGTGACCTTGGAGGAAGTTAGAAAACTTCTGTGAATTTCCATGTTCCCAACCTCCAGTTTGGTGGGGCTTCTAATGCTTCCCTCCTAGAGCTGCGGTGCAAAGGAAATGAGATAAAGATTATAAATTATCTGGTACAATTTAGACACTTAGCAATTAACACTTTCTCTTGATGACTACTCAGAGAATGTTCTTTGTTGATTCTGGTGTTCTTTTCCAGGTGATTGGGGAACCATTTAAAACTCTGGAAGGTGTTATTTGCACCAAGCACACTGCATGCCTGAAAGAAAGTGTCGTCATTTCCTAGGACCAGTGAGAAATGCAGTCTTCTGTCTCTGCTTCATCTTGTCCATGGCAGTAAGGTCTTTCCAAACTTCTGCACTAAAGCTCTCCTGAGTGGGAGACACTTAGGGTGGATTGAGGTAGAGGAGAAGAGTGCCAGTTGTGGTTTGCAATAATGGGAACCAGCTCTGTACTTGATATTTAATTAAATCCATTAAATGTCGAGATCACCACCACACCCATTTTACAGATGGTAAAGCTGAGGACCGTTGGAGAGCTACCTTGCCTAAGATCCCACAGCAAAAAAAGTGTAGGCCTGATAGCCCCAGGAATAGACGAGTCCCAGAGATACAGTTCACAAGCCCAATGCAAACACTTCAACAAGATCTCAATGCTGCTGACAATCATCAAGGGTTCAGCTTCAAACACAAAGCATTTGAGTTGTGGAATATTCTTCAAGAAATAATGCAACCCCCATTATCCAGCATGCATGCACAGCAATTCAACCTGATGGCTAATAAAATGTTTCTCCGCAGCTCTCTGAAGGGCCCTCTTTAATTGATAAGACTCCTTTGCAATTAGTGCTATGGTTTCCACACAAACATCAGCTATTGCACGATCCTTAAAAACGCTTTTGCGCTGTTCAGATGGTTGGTTACACATTCCCTGCTTCAACCAGATTCCCAGGACCTAGTTGCTTAGCTCTGGGGCCGGGGGGGTGGGGTGGGTTGGGGGTGTAGAGGGCACAAGGGATTAGGTTCAGAGTGGGCCTGTTTGGCCCAGATTTTTAGGCACTGCCCTAATTGCGTATAATTATGGTCTTTTTTGTGAAGTGTATGACTAAACACAACAGAACTTTCCAGATAAATTCATTTGCAAATTAGTCAGTTTAACCCCCTATTAGCCCATGTGCCCAGATTTTGGCCGTGGCACATTTGCTCGCTTACGAATAAATGAACATGTGGATGCTTTCTCCCCGTGACACTCAAGCTGCTGCTCTGAGATCTGAAGAGGGGGACCCTTCTCCCAACCCTGGGGATCCTGGCCCTGCCCAGAGCCCAACTTCTGGGGAAGGTCAAGAGCAGGCTGCAGTCTTCGTGAAGAGTGACAGGCAGCAGAGTTAGGAAGCTGAGCGCCAGGATCAGCTACAATGCTAATTTGCTACTTACTGTGTGCTAGATACCGGCCTTGCCACCAACACCTCCTAGTTAGGGGCAGGGGGAGGGACAGACATTCTTTTCAACCTACAGATGGCGTTGTTATTTCAAACTCGGAATGGAATATACAACTTTTCCTCTTGGCTTGGCATGGCCATAAAGAAGGGTGAAGGATCAACTATTTATTATGGAACCAAAGTGTTTCCCTGCTGTTGCTCGGTTTATAAATAAAACACCCCTTACAATTATTCCTATGTAGTTTCTTCATGGAACACTTGGCAAATGCAGACACTGAATAGGTACTTTATTGAGATTTTATCAACAGTTGTTTTTATTTTTTTATTTTTTCCAGGCAAAACATACAGAAGCCAATCCACAGTGAGCGGACCCTTGGGTCTCAGCTGCCAATTGACCTGGATTTTAGAGTGGACTTAATTTGCTGTGTGGCCTTTGGAAAACCATGTAGCATCTCTGAGCTACTATTTTGTTTGTTTTTCGTTTGTGCCAAATCATTCCTGAGGCCTCCTCCTGCCGCTGCGGGTGCTGCAATTTGACACAGGCATTGACCAAATCATAAATGCCCAGTTAATGGGATAAAAATGAGTTTGAATCTGGGATCCTGGTCATTAACCCCATGTCACCATCTGCTAGAACAGTATGAGGGCAGGGCCAGGTGGACTGAGAATTACCCAGCAGTTGTTAAACATGCAGATTACTGCCCCAGCCCCTCATTACCACCACTCTCCCCAGCTCAGACTCTCTAGGGATGGGCCTGGCAAAGCCGCCTTCCTAGTGACTTTGCTGGAGGGAAGGCGGTTGCAGAGCTCACCAAGACCAGACAGCTCCCACAGCTCTGTCTGTTCATCAGGGCTGCCGAGCTGGCTTATAGAGTTTTGAGGTACATTTCCCTCTACTTGGACAGAATCCTCTGCGGCTGGCTTCCTCTACCCGCACCTTCACCGCACTCGCTACTCCTTTGCTGCCTTCTTTCTTCTCAGTACTAATCATTTGTGGCACAGCATCTCTTTTCCTCCGGAAGTATCCGCTCTCCTACTGGAATATAAGCCTGTCCTCCTTCCCCGCCCAGGGGACAGAGAATCTGCCTAGCTGGTGAGAAGTTATGTTCCCAGCAAGAGCCGATGCACGAATTCATGAATAAATGAGCATGTGGATAAATTTGCTCCTCCCCGATGTTGAGGTTGCTTTCCTGAGAGGTGAGAATGAAGCCCCAGGGGCCTGCCCTGAACCCCATTCCTGAGGAATGTGAGGGTGTTCCTCAGCCTTGTCTGTCGTCGCTCCATTACCTGAGGAAGATAATCCCAGAGCCAGGGCCAGTTCAGGGATAACAAAGATTGATATAGCCCGAGAGAGTAGAAAAAGAAGAAAAAACTTTTGTTTCTGCAGTACTGGGGATTGAACCTTGGACCTTGGCAGGGAGATATATCCCCAATCTGACTCCTTTTTAAAAACTTTATTTTCAGACAGGACCTCGTGAAGTTAACCAGGCTGGGTTAGAAATTGGATCCTCTTGCCTCAGTCTCCCAGAGCTTTGTGATTATAGGCATGCACCACCGACTTTAAGGGCTGTTGGCTAAGTACCCACTACTTCCTAGTCTGTGTAAACATGAGTGGTGGGGGTGGGGGTGAAAGGTTAGGGTTAGCAGGAGCTGACTGCTTGCCTATCTGCCCCATTTTATCTTTAGCTCACCCTACACTGACTGGACAGCTAACACTTCACTTCAAGCTTCCCTCCACTCACATGAGCTGAGAGCATACTAAAGCCATGAAGAAATAGCTTAAACAGTAGATGTACAATAAATTCTTGCTGATGTGAAATGAGGAATTCAGTTCAGGACTCCAAAATGTTCTCTATTCTGAATCGATTGTTAGTAACCAAAAATTAGTTTGCTATGGGTCTTTACCATTTAGCATGGAATTAGCTTTTAGCCTGTATTTTGTTTAGTTTAATGGGACCCACTTACCCATAGGCTCTTAGTCATGCAAGGGTCCTCTCTTTGCCTGCTAGACAAAAGGGTGACTTCTGGACCACATAGGACCGCAGCCACTTTCATCCTGTCAGGACTTTAATTTGGTGCATCTGTTCGAAGACACAGAAGTCCTCACTTCCATAAACAAACAAGCCCAGTCAGTTTTCCAGGTGGGTAAAAGAAAGTCCACAGGTCAAAGAGACCCTGCCTTCTGATTTCATTACATGTCATTTCCCCTCCTCAAGGGTCTGAGAGCACGCGTGCGCGCGCACACACACACACACACACACACACACACACACACACACATCTTACCCCTTTGTTGTCCACCCTCTACTGTGTGTTTTCTTTTTCTAATTTATCTTCATTTTATATTTTTTATCTATATGTTTCCTTCTCCTCTAGTCTGCATCAGGCTTTTCTCCCCTGGGAAGGAACAGAAGAAAAAAATCATCACTGTTAGTTTTCTCTCTAACACTCAATCCCTGGAGCCAACTGCTTCACAAATAAGAGAAAATGCACAGAGCACCCTGAAGTTGACCATCAATGGGCGGCTCTCCACTTGGACTTAGATGTGCAGGTACCCTGCAGAACAGGAGAAAAGCAGGGGGAAAGAAGGCTGCCTCTGTCTGGCTCTGAATGGAGCTTCCTCTCCCTCTTGTGTTCTGCCAGTGTGTTGCAACTGCTGCTGAACTTGGGCATTGCAGCAGATCTTGGTAGCTCTACGTATCACACAGCCTCTTTTCCCCATCTGCTTTCTCTCACCCACCCACCCACCTTCTTCCATCAGCGCTTTCCCATAGCTTCCCTCTTCATTCTCCTCTCTGCTCAAGTGTACACAAGTCAGAGTACTGCTTGTATGGATCTGTTTGCATTTGATGACTCTTCTGGATCTTCTGTACAAATTGTCTATTTGCTTAAATTCAATGTGTTTATCCCCAAGCTCTTTCATAAAACAGAATGACACAAAAGTAATGACACAGGGATATGAAAATAGGATTGAGGGAAAGAAAGGAGAAATGCCTTGATGTTCTTTTTTTCTCTTATACCAGTGTGGCTTCTCTTTCAATTTCCAATTTCCTAGCACAGGTTTTGGCACGTACATGGAGGCATAGTATCTATCAAGCACCAATATAGTAGGAGGCAATGTATGGGGTGTATGGGGGGCTACAAAATGCAAGAAGCATGGTCCCTGCTTCTATAGGACTTTTCATTCCACAGGTGAAATACTCATTTATATCTTATATCTGAACCACACTAATGTAAAACTCTTGAGAAGCCATTATCCTGCCTGATTTCCATGCACAGAACTGGGGCTAGTGTTTCTGTGTTACTCAAGAAGACACCTAGCCTCAGAGAGTCTGAGCAGATATGTGGAGTCGGAGCTCAGTCCCTGTTTTCTTACCCTGAGTTTGACATTGCTAGGGAAAAGATGTGAGACAGAGCTACAGCTGGGAAGCTGCAGGCAGCCAAGGTGATATGGGGAGGCCCTTTTGTCTGTAATCTAAAGGGTCACAGTAAGATGAACCAGAGACCAGGTTTTTAAGGGCTGTGTTTGAAGGCATGAGGATGAGGTGGCCTCTCTTCCTTTGATCTTTGTATATACAAATATATACGCATCATGTGTGTTCTTTTTTCTATCTAATTACACATGCAATTTAGGATGCATAGGCTACTGATCTTTGCCTGGATACTCTGCTGAAATACTGTTGGAGGATACCAGCATGTAAGGACTTCACATCCTTGTCGTCAGAGATGACTGACTGGTCAAGACAGGGTATCTGTGCCCACTGCAGAGATTTGGGCTCTCTGGAGACATGAAATTGAAAATCCTACACTGTGTAGTTTGGATTTCCGTAGATAGGAGGGAATCAACATGTACTGGGGTCCAAATCACACTGAACCTTGTACAGTCATTCTACCAGTTTTACAAACAAGGGAACTGAAGCTCACAGATGTAAATCATCTGTGGTCCCACGGCTGGTATGAAGTGAACTGGTGAGAGTCCAGAGCGGTCAAAGTGCTACCTGAGTGCCTCATGGGGCTTGTCATGCTGAAGTTAAGGGTATAAGGGCTGGTGTCAGAGGAATATGAGATCAAATTCTGGAGCCAACACACTCCAGCTCTGTTACTTGAAGCAGGCTATTTAACTTGCTTACATCTTTTTTTGTTCATCTATGAAATGGGGATCATAAAAGTACTCATCTCAAAGGGCTGATGGTAGAAAATGTATAATGCACTAACCCTAAGTATTATTATTATTATT